TTATAATTTGACATGAGATTTGGGTGGGGACACAGAGACAAACCGTATCAATCGGCTTTGAGCCCTGATGGAAAGAGGTTTGGGCCAGGAGTCAGAAGAGTGGCATTCATGAAAGTGTTGAGAGATCCTCAGGATCTCAAGGCCCAGCAGGCAGGGAAGAGTGGCAGCAGGGATAACTTAGGAGGCTGATGCAATGGCCAAGTAAAGAGGAAGGAGGGTCCTGGCCCAGGAAGCTTGTACGGCATGGTGAGGGGTGGCCAATGGCTCTCTCTGGGGGTTGGACAAGGAGAGGAGAGCTCCCTGAAGGCCTCAGCAGCAAAAGGGATCACAGAACCTGGACCCCTGGCCTGGTGACCTGGGACTGAGACATCTTGGCATGGCTTTTGTCTCCTTGGAGCTGTCACTGCTTCTGGGGACAGAGTAGGTCCTGGGGAGAGGGTCACATGGGTAAGCAGGGACCAACAGATGGGAGAACAGGATGGATCCTGGACTCCCACTTTTGCTTTGGAAGTGAACATGGAAACAAGTACAGATTTGGGGGTTGAGCCTCCGGTATAAGCAGATTAAGAATTTCGGGCGGAAGCAGGAATGATGGTGGCTGCCTCTCCTGAATTTTGAACCCACGAGTGCTTGCCTATAGGAGTCAAGGTCCCTTGTATGCTCACAGCTGGCCTGCCTCAGAAAGAGGGCAGCCTTGGGGTTTTGTGCACACACCAAGAAGATTGACGCATCCAGCTGAGAAGAGATCTGCATCCTGGACCTGCTTCCTAACTGCCACCTACAATTTCCTGGGGCTACGCGAGGCCTTTTCACATTTGCTTCCGCCTTCTCTACACCGACAGGCACGTTCAGAAGCAGCCAGAGTCTGGCCCTGGTATTGCTGACAGGTGGGTACCTGCAGCTGGGTTCTGTTGCCATGGTAACAAGGTAGGGAAAACTGCCCCAGAGCTCCGGGGCTGATTAGACCTCAAGGACAGTCCACTGTCGCCTGACACCATGTCTTCTGGGACGCTGCTGGGTGTAACTGTCCAGGAGGAGATGGGAATTTTTTGAGACAGAAAATTTAAATGAATGGAAAATTAGATGCTCTACCAAAGATATTGTCCCCTTCCTTTCCCTATATATATTTGTCACTACCAGTTACGAATATACAATTTCCTGTCTCGGTGTCAACTAGTAGCATCCGTAAGAAAGGTGGTCCCATTTCCTGCTGACATTCGAAGTTATGTAGAATAAGACATGCTTATTTTGGAACATGACTTGTGTTCTGAAAACTTACTAATAAGTGTTACCTAACATTGAACTTGGGGTGTCTTAGTCAGCTTAGGCTGCTATAATAAAATACATGCTACATGCCAGGTGTTTTAAATAACAGACATTTATTTCTCACAGTTCTGGAGGTGAGAAAGTCCAAGATCAAGAGCTGGCTGATTTCATTTCTGTTAAGGACTCTCCTCCTGGCTTGTTGATGGCTGCCTTCTTGCTGTGTGCTCCTATGGCCTTCCGTCTGTTTGTGGAGAGAAAGAGCAAACACTCTGGCCTATTCTTATGAGGGCACTAATTCCATCATGAGGGCCCCACCCTCCTTGTCTCATCTGGCCTTAATTATCTCCCAAAGGCCCTATCTCCAAATATCACATTGGGAATAGGGGCTTCAGCATATGAATTTTCAGAGGACATAAATATTCAGCCTATAACATGGGGCTGACACAGTTTGAAAGTGGCCCTTCAGCACCTGTCAGGAAACATTTTTTATTTGATTCATTTATTTGTTCACTAATTCATTTAGCCATTTTTTATTTTGAGAGCCAGGGACAATTCAATGTCCTAGGATATAGCAGAGAACAAAATAGACAAAAATTTCTTCTGCCATGAGGTTTACCTTTTAGTGGCCGGAGACGGGAAAATTTAAAAGTAAGCAAGTAATTATATAATCAGTGGTGATAAGAGCAATTAAAAAGCATAAAGCAAAAGAGAATGACAGGGTGCGGAGGGGGACTTGCTGTTCCACATGGAGTGATCCGGGAAGACCTGGGCATCGCAGCAGAGGCCTTCTGGTGGCCACGATAAAGCGTCTTGCAAGATCTTCTACTACAGGGAGCATAACTGATGGAAGGCCACAGCTATTTCATTTTGAAATTCATTGCTGCTTTTGTGTGAAGGGCATGTCTCCTGGGAGACGTGGGACTTCCTCATCAGCACACTTTAGCTCAGGGACTCCCTGATGGTTTTGTCAAAACTTCCTCAGCCTGCCCAGCTCTAGAGAAGGCTTCCACTCTACCTTCTCTCTTTTCTCCTTCCCTTTGGGTCAGACTTGCATCATGATCCCGCTACAACCCCCAACTTCCTCTGCTCCATCCCTATTTCCTTTTGCAAGGCATTTCCCGTAATAAAAGCCTCGCGTGATTAATCCGTTGCGTCACCTGCTTCTCAGAGGACCAGGACTAATGCAGATTTGAAGGAAGCTAGAGAGTAAACCACGTGGATTGGTGAGGGAAATATAATCCAGGCTGAGGAAATATAATCCAGACTGCGATGGTCTTAGGGCAAGAGCAAGGCTGGTTTGCATGAGAACTGAGATTTGACTTTTTACCCTATTCACATGCTAATAGGCTAGTGTTTGACTGTTTCATAGATTCTGGCAGAAGACACGAGAGTCCGGGTCAGAGACAAAAGACTCAGTATTCATCGCACAGCCATACATTCTGTTGGTCAAAATGAGTCAATAGTACAGGCCAGAGTCAAGGGGAGGGAAGTGGCCTCTTTCTCTTCACCAGGAAGCAGCAAAGTCACATTGCCAGGAGGTGTGGATACAGCGGGGAGAAGAACTGCAGCCAGTTTTTCAAAGCACCACAGTAAGGACTGGAGCCAGGTGCCTCAGGAGCTTGAGGACAAAGAGGAAATTCACTGAGTGATCAAGCAAGGCCTCCTGGAAGACTTAAGTCTTTAGCCATGCCAAATCCCTTGTTGTTGTTTTGAGACAGGGACTTGCTCTGTCTCTTATGCTGAAATGCAATGACATGATCACGGCTCACTGCTGCACCCTCGAACTTCCGGACTCAAGCAATCCTCCCATCTCCGCCTCTTGAGTAGCTGGGAATACGGGCACATGCTACCATGCCAGGCTAATTTTTTAAATTGTTTTTGGTAGAGCTAGGGTCTCACTATGTTGTCCACGCTGGTCTTGAACTCCTGAGCTCAAGTGCTGACCATTTAGCCTGCCAAGAGCCAGCTGCCGCCTCCCTGTGGGTCTCAGAGAGAACACAACCACCACCTCTCCTGACGGCCTGGGAAGCAAGACCAAAACAGGTCACGTGAGTCTTCCATTGTTGACATTCTGTTGGGTGACGGAGGAGAAGGGAAGGAGGGGTCAGACCCCGAATTCCAGGCTATGCCTGCTCTCACCTCCGCCGCAATGACTCTCCCCCTCACCCCACACATTTGCCCGGCCACCAGGGTCAAGCCTGCCACTGAATCAGGAAAGCAGTTTGTTCATGCAGAATGTGTCACTGTTGGAAGTTTCTCTCTCATCATTAACTAATTTGCTGTGCTTTACCACAGCCCTTGTTATCTATAACCATGGTAACAATGCAAAGAGCTGTACATGCATTTATTTTGGACTCTAAAAGCCCAAGCATGGTTTATTTCTGTCTCTTGGCTTCGAAGGAGCTGGGTGGGTCTGGAGGCAGGGGCTGGAGCTAGCGGACCGGCCCTTAGTCCCTGAGCCTATCAGTGTGTGATTTCAATCACGGAGCTTCTCCTCTGGGACCTCAGTTTCCCGATGTATAAGGTGAGGGATTGGGGTCGCTGGTCTTGGTGGAGTCTTCCGGTGATGTCTCTCTATTGGTCAGAGTCGTGTGTATTTAGGATCTAGAGGGAGAGTTCCCCAGCCCACCCTGGAGGCTGTGAGCTGGCTGCGAGCGTGGGGATGTAGGCAGTGGTGTGTGGCTGCTGCATTTGACAGTCCCTTCTTTCTGCTAATTCGGTGTCCTCACTATATAATTATACTGTGAAATTCCCTGACTGAAGATAATTTTTTAAAATATCTTTCCCTGACTCCCACCACTCATTGCCCAGATTCGTGAATGGGGTAAGTGGGCGTTTGCAGCTTTTGGCGGAGAGTGAGGATGTTATGCAACCTGCCCTTCTCAGAATTTCCCAGCACCGCCTCCACGCTGGGCCCCAGAAGGGAAGAATAGGGCTTTTCTGGTTGGGAGGATGCAGATTTTGACTTCTCTGAGTCTCAGTTTCCTCATCTGTGAAGTGGGGAGAAAATGATCTTTCATGCGGGGTAACGTGATGAGTATGATACCACGCCCTGTGCCTCTGACCACAGGACTGTGATGAAAATGTGGCCTTCCTCCCTCCTCCTGTGATCTCGGGCTGGTCACTTCACTCCTCTGAGCCTCGGTTTCTCTGTTTGTAAGTGGGGTCAATAATAGTTACCTATCTTTCAGGAGCGTTGTGAGGGGGTTAAGGAGAATAACAGCCCGAGACGCCCTGTGCTGTTGTTACTCAGCAATTGGCATTTATTATGACTGTCAGGAAAGGCACGCTGTCCTGTCACACCCTGCAGGATCGTGTTATCAGGGCGTGTGTTCTGGCTGGCTAGGGGCTGCGTTGCCAGTCCAGTAAGATACAGCCAGAGCTGATAACTAATGGACCTGTCAGCTCGATGCAGAGCACTTCTTGAAGCTCCCCAGAGGCAGGTACCGATGCCACATTGATAAGCCCAATTCCCCTGATGGGTTCCTGACATTTCCTGCCTGCGTTCCCCTGACTGCCTGGGTCAGTGGTCAGACTGAGTCACAGCCACTCCCTGCAGCCCCGGCTGGCTGCTGATGCAGGGCTCGGGGCGCCAGGCAGCTATGCAGGGCCAGTCCACTGAGAGGGTGCCCTTTCTATTTATATTTTAAAACATTAGAATTTTTCTTCTTATTTAACATTCTTATTATTCTTTCTTACGTAAGGAAGATACTTAGAATGCCTTTGATCATTACTGTTTATTGCATATGTCAACATGTGTTTATTTAAACAGAGACAAAGACCCGGAAGGAATCACCAGGAAGTTAATAGTTGCTGCCAGGGAGGAGAGGGGTGACACATTCACTTCTTTAGACTAAACAAAATGGTGGGATTAGCAAACATGCTTAATTTTGCTTTGAGTGAATGCTGCTCTGTATAGTTTATGTTTACATTTTTTTAAATTAAATAACATGGATTGCTTTAGAATTAGAGATCAAATCTCAAAATGTAAAGAGACAAATGACAAAAACACTTTTCAGCAGAGGAAACATCTTTACCATAATTTTTTGTCAGTTTAAATTGGGCTAATCTGTACCGGGCGCCTATGCCCAGGGATTAATCTGTGAGTTCAAACTCCCCAAGGAGGCGTATGTTTTTCTTGCTTATCCTTCTCATTTCACAGCCTCTGACCTGGGTTCTTAACAGGAATCCTCGTAGTTCATGCATGCTTCGGTTCTGGAAGGGGGGCCCTTCTTTCGTCACTGTACGCTCTGTGTGAGGTTTGTACTGAGGCTCTGTGGACCTGTCTCCTCGTGAAGGCCAGGCTCGATGCGGATTTCATGAAGACCTCAGCACCTGCTATATCTGTAGCTCCCTTGGGGAAAGACCCAAAGCTCTGCAGTGCAGACCCCTGGGCTGGCCACCCCCATCCCTGCTCCGGAGAAAATGCACGCACTGGTCTGGTGGGAGGCAGTACTTCCTGTTTCGGGGGATGATCTCATCTTGAACTGGAGGGAGGTCTAGCTGGTGCTGATTCATTTTAGCAGGGAGGCCTGCAGAGCCGAGGGCCTTGCCTCTCCACCTGTGATTTTCAGCATTCTGTTGGGTCAGCTTCAGGGCGTTTGTCTTTTAAGACTAAAGTTAGCAGTTTTTAAAAGGAGAAACTGAAAGCCCTTTCTCTTGTCGTCTGCATGACTAGGATGGGGCCAGAAACAGACAGCCGTAGATTCTCATGGGTGGGTGAAAGTATATGGACTTGCTGACTCGCTTCGGTGGGGTCTTGGCAAAGGGTCTGAATGCTGGCTCTGCTACTGATTAGCTATGTGACCTTAAGCAAGTTACCTAGCCTATCTGAACCTCCACTTCCTTATTTGCCAAAGAGGGATTCAAAAGACCTTGCAGAATCTGAAGAGGACTCCATTACATGTGACTGACTATGTTAGAGGCCTTCCAAAGGTAAAATTAATAGGAATGATTACAAGACAAATCATCAGCAATGTGATGGGGGAATGTTCTATGCAAGGCAGCCTGGGGCACGTGGTGCTTAGGAGGCCAGTGTCCAACTGTGAGAGAAAACAGCACTCCCCGTTCCGTGTTGTTAGAGCGGAGGCCACCAGGCGCTGTGGAGGCACCGTGTGACCCTCCTGCCTCCGCTGCCTACCTGCAGGGTGACCTTGGGTGAGTCTTTCCCTTTGCCAGGCTCCAGAGCTGAACTGCGCCAAAACCACGCTCCTTTTCAACCCCAAACGAGGCGCTGACCCTGCAGGGCCCCCACACCCATGGTATTAGAGACTCCTCCTCATCAGGCCCTTCTCTCCTCGTGCAGAATGGGCGTTGTATCCAGAGTGTTAGTCGGTGGATGGCGGGGGTTAGCTGCTGCTTCTCTCTCTCCCCAACTCCTTGAAGGGGCTGCCTGTACGCACCACCCTGCTGCGTTTCTGAGCCAAACCTTTCAGCCTGTCGCCCTGCTTGTCACCCTGCTGAGCTCCCTGGCTGCCCCAGACTTGAGTCTTCCCTGGGATCACACTGACCTCAGAGTCCCAGGTCCCAGGCCCGTGTGCACCCTCACAGGACCTGCTTAGAAGCCCCTGTTTCAGTTTGGGTCATCATGTCTGGTTCTTCTGGGACCATATCTGGCTCTGGACCCCAGAGCGCCCACCCTCTTCTGCCAGCCCTCTGCTGGGCCCCTGGGGACGTCCAGCAATTTCTTCTGGAGCAAGGCAGAGATGGTGCTTCCCGTGACACCATGCCGGACTGGCAGGTGGCCCCTCTCTAGGTCCTGCCGTGGAATGGATCAGCTATTCCCTTTCTAAAGATTAGTTTCCCCTGCCCCCACATCCTCCTCCTTGGCCACTGGTTCTGCGATGCTATGGGCTTTACATGCCTTTGCCCCCAAGCTGCACCCGGACCCAGAGCCTAAAGTGCTGAGGAACGCAGACGTGGTGACACAAGAATCCACTGGCTCCTCTCCTAGCTGCTGTCCTTGGCCTCGCTCCTCTTCACTCCAGGCCAGCCTTAGGCACACAGATTTGCCTTCCACATGCATCCCTGCACCTCTCCAGGATCAGGGGCTGCCCTGCAGGCCCAGCTCCGGTCCCAAGAATGAAATTCCAACTGTCTACTCAGCCAGTGCTTCCCCAGCACATCAGGAGGTCAGCAGGAATGCGGAGTGGCTAAGAGGCTACGTTTTCTGCTGGGATTTGCATCTAAGCGCAGGTGGCGTCACACAGTCCGGAGGCCAGGACACAGGATGGGGAAGAGGACTGCTTCTTAGAGTGCACTGAGGGCGGCATGGCTGGCTCAAAGGTCAGCACTTACATACCCAGTAAAAAGGGTGTAAAAGCATCCCTTTACTTACTTCCCCACAAAGCTGCATGTGAGCGTGTGGATGCTAAGCCCCAGGGTGGGCAGTCCGGGGCAGTATCAGGGGCTGGGAGTCAGTGGTGAGAACACAGTGTCATCAGCAGTAGGGACTGGACAAAGGTCTCCGGACTCCCTGTCCAGGGCTCCCCATACCCTGAGTCTCTAAGTGTTTCTAAGTGGCTGACGGCTGGCTCTATCTACTGGGTGTCTCTTCATCAGGTCCCCCAGGTGTGGCTGCTGGGAGATGCAGGCATTTAATTGCACTGAGCAGTCCTAGTGCCAGGCCTTGGGTGGTTTCCCATGTTACCAGATTGGACTGCAGGTGGCTGTGCGGGGGCATGCCTTTGCAGTGGGTTTAGCTGCCCCTTTTCAGAACTACAGCCTGCTCCAGGGCCAGCAATCGACATGAAAGAAGAAATGTAATGAACCGGGTAATAGTGGAAATTGATAGTGGTGATTAATTGCTAAAAGCATGCAGAGACCATGGCAACGGTTGGATGACAAAGGCAGAAACCTTACTTCCTTTTGTAGGCAGTGCTCCAAACGGCTTCAGGTCTCTGTAAACAGCTTGCGAAGCTTTGTGAAGATGCGAGGCGCGGCAGGTCTCCAGCAGCTCTGAAGTCAGCCTTCCGTCTGAACACCACTCTACCTGTCTCTTCCTTGCTGTGTCTTCTTGGGCAACTTGCTGTGACTCTCCTGAGCCCATGTCCTCATCGATAGAATGGGGAAGAGTCCCAATTTACAGACTTGTGAAGAGTCAATGAAGTGAAAGTTCTGAGAAATAGACAGGCTTTGGAACCAATTCAAATTCTGGCACTATCACGTATTGGCTGTGTGACCTTGGGGCAAGGCGTCAACCACTCTGAGCTTCAATGCCCTCATCTGTAAAATGAGGATAATGATAATCGTATCCATAATACATCATTGCTATTGTGAGGATTAAATGAGATAATAAAGTGCTAAGCACAGACAGCATATGAGACGTTGCAACGTTCAATGTAGTTTGCCTATACAACACTCTATTATGAAATGTTTATAGGCTCTTAGCTCTGTCCATGATACTAGCAGCGATAGTGATGTGTATGACATGCTTCTCATGTGCTAGATGCCATCCTAAGCTCTTAATGTGTATCAGCTCCCCCAATTCCCGTAACCACGCTATGAAGTAGGTACTGTAATTATCCCTGCTTTATGAATTAGGAGGCTGCAGGCTAGCTAACTGGAAAAGCTAACCAAGGCACCTAGCTTTTCTGGGGAGGCCTGGCCACCCAGAGTTGTTTTGCTTCTCATACATTCTTCCTTGGGTGGAGGTTGCTGTGGCGTCCTGTCCTGTCTGGGCACGTAAAGTTTCAGCATCCCACCTGGCACTCCTGGGGGACTCAATCCTGTCTTACCCAGGAGCGTTCCCCATCCAAACCTCATCCCACAGACTGCTTAGTGATATCACTATCCAGGCCTCTAACCCCCAAACTTGGGTGCCTTCCTAAACAGGGTAGATGAGAGCATTCTGGGCAGAGGAAGCAGAATGTGGATAAGGACATGAAGGCATCAAATGGCATTGAATTCTTAGGAAAATGCAGATGGCTGCACAGTTGGATTGTTTGGAGCTGGGTAGGAGGCATGTGTCTGGAAGTGTGTGTGGAGAGGCAGGCAGGGTCTAGCGCAATGATTTCCAGCCTCATGTGCACAGAAGAATCACCTGCGGGACTTTAAAAAGGCCACTGCCTGTCTCCGACCCCCAGAGGTGACTGAATATCGGGATTTTAAAAAAATCTTCCCAGTTGATTCAAATACCGGCTGAGATCCGATGTTCTAGAGATCACTTAAGGAAATGTAGACTATGTTAAGCAAGTAGACCTTCACTGTATGGTAAATTACTATACTTGTGGTAAAATAAAAAAATCAAGTGGCACAAGCCACTTGTCAAATGTTCAGTAACCATTGGCGGCCGCCATATTGGACAGCAAAGGTAGAAAGCATTTCTCTTCATCTCAGAAAGTTCTCTTGGGCAAGACTGACGTAGACTTTATTTGGTTGGCAGCGAAAAGCCACTTAAGGGTTTTAAGAAGGGGAGTGATGTGGCCGGGGGCTTGCTTTAGGAAGAGGATTCAGGGGCTGAACAGAAATGGAGCCAATGGATGTCATTGTCAACTGACAACAGAAGGAATTATTAGGCAACTGTTCTGCTGCTGGACAGGGATGGCCTGAACTAGAGCCTCAACACTGGCGCTGGAGAGGCTGGGATAGATGTGAGAAGGGTGAGAGGAAGAGGCACTCAGGACAGGCAGGCCCAGTCGGATGGGGGTTGAAGAAGGAGGCTAAGTTTAGGTTGCCGCTCACATTTTGGATCCGTTACCTGGAGGTTCCTCTGTGGCAATGGTTCCCAATCCAGGTGATTTCCCTCCCCCCCACCCAGGGGACATCTGACCACACCTGTAGATATTTTTCATGATCGCAACTCAGGGGGTTGAGTGTATTACTGGCATCTCATGGGTAGAGGCCAGGATGAAGTCAAGGCTGTTAAATGTCTCATGATTCACAGGTCAGCCACTCCAGAATGAAGAGTTACCAAGCCCTCAATGTCAACAGTGCAGACGCTGAGAAAGCTTGTTCTATGGATAGAGGCATGAGGCCAGTCTGAGTGCAGTGGTATAGATAAAGAATAAAAGCTGAATGAATTGTGCTTTCAGCTCTTCTGAGAGTGGATGGTGGAGATCTCCAGTGGACGGCAAATATCACATCTGGAGCTCAGGAAAGAGGAGAGGAGCAGAGATGAGCAACTGGGCATCCCCCTGTAAGGGTCATTGCTGAGTTTAAAATGAGGAAACTGAGGCCAGTATAAGAAAATTAAATGCCAATTTATTCAGCTCCCGGGCGAGGTTCTCTGGTCCTGGGAAAGGGGGCCAGAGATGTTGCGCTGACTTCCTGGGGGTGGGGGTTATGGCTAGGAGGAACCAGAAACAACTGGGTGCTCTGATTGGGTCCAGGGGAGCAGGACTGAGACGGGGCAGGCCGCTATTGGTTGGCGGGTTGTTGGGTGGGTTTTCTGGTGCGAGAGAGCCAGGGTTGCATCAGCTGGAGCCTTCCAGGGGAGCCATGCTGCAGAGCTAGGTGCCGGGTGCAAAGCCTGGTGCCGGGTGCAGAGTCTGGTGCTGAGTGCAGAGGTGGGTGTGTCCGGCCTCCTGGTGAGGCAACCAGCCTTACACCCCCTACCTCTGTGTCCGGACCACCCAGTGGCTGCCCTGGACTCCTGAAGGTGCTAAGTGAGAATTGGGGCTGAGAGTGGAGCCTCAGGGAGCAGCCACACTCCAGGGACAGGTGGAAGGTGGGGAGGCCACATTTTTGGTGAGGTCTTTGTGTGAAGCCAAGTGTTGTCTTTCTTCAGATGATAGCATCTGGAACATCCCATCCATCCTGCATCTCCAGGCATTGCAGACGGTAAAGACTCATCCTTGCTGTCCAGCACCCAGGCCTTACCCCTCAAGGCTGGATGTCTCCAGAGCCGTGGGTTTTATGTCAGTGACATCTTCCAGATTCCTCGTGCTCCAGGCTCTGCTCCTCTAGGTGTGGTCCTTTGGCATTGGAAGGAAGGATGGGAAGAAGGGCAGGCTTCTCACCCCCAAATGCCCCTTTGTTCCACACAGTCCATATGTATACCTAAAGGATACATACTGCTGAGCATGGGGCTTGGGCCATTTTTTGGCAATTGTCCCTGCAGTGGGTTGAATGCTGTCATTTCAAAATTCGTGTCCACCAAGAACCTCCGAATGTGACCTGATTTGGAAATAGGGCTTTTGCAGTTGAAGTTAGTGATCTTGAGACATCCTAGGTTTACGGTGGACTCTCAATCTAACGGTTGATGTTCTTATAAGAAGAAAGGACAGAGAGACACATAGAACTAAGTTCATGTGGAGACAGTCTGGGACTGTGCTCGCACAAGCCCAGGAATGCTCAGAGCCAGCAGAACCTGGAAGAGCGAGGGAAGGACCCTCCCCTCAGGCCTTCAAATGCAGCATGGTCCCGCTGACAAGTGATTTTACCCTTGTAGCCTCCAGAACGTCAAAGCCACCTGGCTTTGGATAATTTGTTATGGAAGCCCTAGGATTTAATACAGCCCACTGTGTTTAAAGCGGTCCTAACCTGACACAAACATTTAATCCTAGACTCGCTCGTCAAGCTTCCTGAAGCTTATCGTTTGGGTGAGAAAGGAAGATTGGAAACGGGACATCTCCGGCGTCTGTCTCAAAAGGCCGTCTTCCGCCATTTATCAATGGGAAAACCATCTTAGAGGAGAGGGAGATTTGGGAAGGCAATAAGCCCTGGGCTCCAAGGCAGCTTCTGGTAGCTGGCCGATAATTTCTGTGGCAGACTGATCTTCGATTCTGAATCATAGTAGATTGTAATGCTGTTTATGGTAACTGAAATTTATTGGGAACTTACTATGCACTAACGCTTTATAGAGAGCTCAACGAGATATCGGCACTCTTTACTTCAACCCTGTCACTACCCCACTTTACTGATGAAGAAACGGAGGTTCAGAGACATTCTCTAAGGTCTTGCAGCTTATAGGAGGAGAACTCCAGATAAACCCCGAGGAGCCTGGCACGAATGCTGGTTTTTAGCCGTTGTACGCACTGCCTGCAGAGCGATGAAGTTACTGGGTGAGCAGCCCCTGTCGGGTGAGTATGGCCATCTTCAGGAGCTCTTGGATTACCTGGTTTCTAATACCGTAGGCACTAGGTGAACAGAGGAAGGAAGACAGTGACTTGATTAAGTGCCTTCAGGGGATGCTGCAAAGATCAAACTATCTTGGGGACACCACGGGCCACCTTTGAATTCTGGGTTGGGAGGCTCTCTAAAGAGAAGGGGTCCCACGTGCTGCTGTCACTGATGCTGTGGCTGCACACGACACCTGTCTGTCCTGACCTCTGGCCCTCTGCCGTTATCACTTGGCCTTTGGTGTAAAGTCAATGAAGGCCTCGAGACCCCGAGTGTGGTCTGTGGACCGGAGCAGCATGAGCAACACCTGGGAGCTTGTTGGAAATGCGGCCCCTTGGGCTGCCCCAGATGGACTGAGTCAGAATCTAGGGGGATTTGCATGCACATTACAATGTGAGAAGCGGGAAAAAATGACCCAAAGAAGTCCATGGCTTGTTGTGAATTCTGTGCACTCTTGGTGCAAATGAGCAGAGATCAGGGCAGATGGAACTTCACACAGGGACCTTGACTTCGAGGATCTTGGGCCCTGGATCAGACGGCCTCATTCAAGGTCATCTTTGGCCCCATCTGCCCTGTGATCTGACACACTCAGTTCTCTACTCCAGACCCCCAAGCTGGAGATGCCCTTCTTGGCTGAGCGTCAAAGAGTGACCCTCCAGTGGTTACCAGTAAATTAATTGGCGGTACCTCTCTTTCTGTCCCTTCTCAGGGGGTAGGGATCGGAACTTCTGGGATGAGGTCCCTGACAGCTGAGCTCATGTGAGGCTGAGCACATCAGATTTCATGGCAGATCTCGCTTTTGATGTGCACTTTCACAAGGAAATGCTAGCCCCCGCCCCTGCTCTTTTTCCAGCCCTGTGCTCTGAAAGGTAGTTGCTTTCAAGCAAGATGTCAAAGGGGATGCCCGCTGGAGATGAATTATGCTGCTCTGTTCCTGCTAGAGATGAATGGTGCTGCTCTGCGTGCGGTCCTCAGATGACTGTGAGTGCACGGGCTGAATGGGCTCCGTGTAAACGATTTGAAGTGTCTCGTCACTTTCCATTTTCTTTAACACCGAGTTCTTGCCTGTTGTGTGACTACAGCAGTTTCAAGAAGGTGAGGTCCTCTTGGGTTTAGCAGAGAATTAGAGGTCAGAACATTTTTTGATCAATCTCTCACAACGT